TAAATCTCCTGGTCTCAATTCAGCTCCTGGCCCCTCTTCTCAATATGGGAAAGAAGCTGGGCCAATCACTGGGGTCAGAGCTCATGCCTTCCCTGCTTCTCGGGGACTTGCTAATGGTCCTCTGCTCTAACCCTGCCTCCCCTCTACCACCCCAAGCGTCTAAACAAGTTTCTGCATTTTAAAAGATGTTTCTGAGTGCAGTTTTCCATAGTAAAATAAATGTTATCAGTTATTGAGGATTTACAATTTGTAGGGCACTCAGCTAACCCCTGAGGTACAGCATCAGCATTTTACAGAAAAGGCAAATTAGTGTCCTAGAGGATAAGCAACTTGCCATCTAGGTAGCAAGAGGTGAGAGGGGATTGAAACCCAAGACAGGCACATTCGCACTATGTCATGCAGCCTTCCAAAGGCACGAGACATGGCCCGTGGCCCGGTTGGGATGATGGGACCTATGGACAGAACTCGATGAGGACAGGTAAAGGATGCGCCACCTGCAGAGCCGCGGCCCCTGACCAGGCCCCTAAGACCCTCAGAAGAAGGGACAATGATGGCTTCCTGGTCAGTAGCTGCCTCTCCTGGCATAAAAACCCCTCCGTGCACATCTGGAGCATAGACCCCAGAAAGTGAGGGACACTGAGCTCAGGGCTGGGCAGGAGGCAGTTAGAACTTTCTGGATGCCTCTCCTAGCAGGATGAGCCAAGACCACCAGGGAGGTGTTAATGAAACAGGGAAGCTGTGAACAGACCCAGGAGTGATTCCAATCTGACACCTCCACCCCAGCCCCCATCAGTAATGAGCTGGGACCTGCCCTTCTCCCCAGAGAGGGGTGAGGGAAGAAGTCCATCTCTGTAGATTCAGAAGCCCTGACCCCTCCCCCACCCATCACCACCATCATCATTCTTACTACTTGCACTGCAGTAAATAGCTCACATTTATTGAGCACGTACTAATTGTGTCCCAGGCACTATTGATCTTTTTTTATAATCCTATAATCCTTACCTATAAACCTTAAACCTCTATGGTAAATAGTATTCTTATCTCCATTTTATAGATGAAGAAACTGAGGCTCCATCAGGTTAAGTGACTTGACTAAAGTAGAACAGACCCTGGGACCCGGGACTGACTCAGAAGTCTGTGTTCTCTGTGCTTTGGGTAAAGCCCCTGACACACACCCACACTGACCCCACACGGAAGACACATCTGTGTGGTTCCACAGCTGGAGCTGGGGTGGTGGGGAAAGGCAGCATGTCCACTGTGTGTCCTCCAAGTTCCAGAGCTAGAAAGAAGGATGGGCAGGGTCCCAGCCCTGCCACCAAACCTGTCATCTCCCTGTGCAGTGAGAATTGGGGTGGGGCAGGGGACTCCAGTTCTGCCCACTTCCGGGAAAGCAGAGAAAGGTTTTGACTGGGGAGGGCTGAGGAAGAGGGCAGGGGCTGCTGGGCAGATGCATGCCTCCCAGCTGCAGGAAGGAGCCGGGCCTCTCTGTGAGTGGAGCGCCATGTTTGTAAACATCATTAATCAGGGATTAGCAGATGGGCGTGCTAATTGCACCTGTGCAAGTGAGAGACCTCAAGGTTGATTACATTTACAAACTGTGGGGCTCCCTGGCGCCTGACCCTGCGGGAATGATGTGTGTGTGGGAGGGTCTAGTTTAGCCTTCTACCAAAAGATCCCAGCTCTGCAGGGGGCTCAAGGTGCTGGCCCCTCTTCAGCTGCTCTGAGGATACCAGAGGCTCTTCTCCTGGGGATGGGGAAGTTATGGTGCATTTTGGCTGAAATGGGCCCCACCGCCTGGAAGAAAAGCACAGCTGCGCCCTGACCTCAGAGTCTGCATTTAGGTGTCCCAAGGAAAAGCTGCCATCCTCCTCCAGGCTTGGGGTGGAGGGCTTTCTGTAATGACCCCTTTGAATCCAGACCAATTTGAAGTGGATGCTGTTGTGATCTCCATTTTTGTAGATGATGAAAACAAAGGCTGGCAACTGAGGGGACTGTCCACATTTCCATGACTGCGAGTCAGAGCTGGAACTCCAACAAAGCCCTGTTTAACAGCCATGGCCCTGCTCTGAACCAATGCTGTTCTCTCTGATTTTATCTCAGCCATTTTATCTCAGTTCCGTGTGGGGCTTGGTCAAGAGAGCAGAGCAGACTTTGTACCCCACAGGGAGGGAGCACTGGGATACCTGTGTTCTTTTTTGTCACCCGTATGGCAGGGTTCTGCAGAGAAACCAACAGGGTGCATGTGTACCTGTGTTTAAAGAGATTATATGGAACTGGCTCATGCAATTATGGCGGAGGGCAGGTCCCAAGATCTGCAGGGTGAGTCAGCCAGCTGGAAACCCAAGAGGTCGATGGCATAGCTCCCATCCAAAGGTCAGTAGGCTGAAAAATCAGGAGGAGTTTTTCCCGCTGATTCTGAAGGCAGGAATTCTTTTGCCTGGGGAATGGTCAGCCTTTTGTTTTATTCAGGCTCTCAACTGACTAGATGTGGCCCACCACATTAGGGAGGGTAGTCTGCTTTACACTGCTGATTCAAATCTTAATTTCTTCCACAAACACCTTCATAGAAACACCCAGAATAATGTTTGACCCAAACCTGGGTAACCCATGCTCCAGTCAAATTGACACAAAATCAACCATCACATCAGAGTTTGTACTAATGTGTTAGTCCTGGGGTGCCCAGTCCTTTAGCTTACAGATCATCTTTGTCCCCCCTGGTGCTGGGATCAAACCCAGGGCCTAGCACACTCTAGTCAAGCGCTCTACACCCCAGAACAATAGGACATTTTTACTGATAACTTTTATTTCTAACTTCTCTAATGAGAAAGGGGTAGACAGAGCTGGTTGGAATGGCACCTTCCCTAATCTACAGATGAGGAGTCTGGAAAGCTAAGTAGTATGTCATGGAGCTGAGACTGGAAAGCACATCTTCCAAAGACCCTAAGGGACAGATGAGACATCATCCTGGCCCAAACTTTCAAGCATGAGCTCAAAGACACAGGCGTGAACATGGAGCATTGCTTGGACATGAAGCATGGAGCAAAGCGCAAGGGAGTCTCAGTCCCCAGTGGTCCACTATCAACTGGGGAGCTTTAAGAAATACTGAAACCTGGTTCCTTCCCAGAGATCATTTCTTAGGAGCTGGTCCTTCTAGGTATTTAGAATACTAAGAGTTCTCTCTCTCTCTCTGGCCCCATGGCTGCAAGTTTCCACCAAAGTTAAAAATTTTTTAATTAAATAAGTAAAAATAGTAACTTAAAAAGTTAAAAATCACTACACCTGGCTCTTGGTCAAGGGCACAGGGGTGGCAGAGGCATCCTAGCATCTGCTGCGTTCAAGCTCAGCAGAGGTCAGAACCTGTATGGCAGTTAGGATCAGAAAGTTCCAGAGGGGACAGATGCTAGTAGGGAAGAGTTGAGCTTATGAAGGGGCTTTGTCTTCTTTCTTGAGATAAAAAACTATGGGCTGGGGATGTGGCTCAAGCAGTGACGTGCTAGCCTGGCATTCACGGGGCGCTGGGTTCAATCCTCAGCACCCCACAAAGATGCTGTGTCCACTGAAAAATAAATATTAAAAAAAATTCTCTTTCTCTCTCTTAAAAAAATTTTAAAGAGAGAGTGAGAGAGGAGAGAGAGAATTTTTTAATATTTATTTTTTAGTTTTCGGCGGACACAACATCTTTGTTTGTATGTGGTGCTAAGGATCAAACCCAGGCCGCACGCATGCCAGGCGAGCGCGCTACCGCTTGAGCCACATCCCCAGCCCCCCTTTTTTTTTAAATATTTTATTTTTTAGTTATAGTTGGACACAACACCTTTATTTTATTTATTTATTTATTTATTTATTTTTATGTGCTGCTGAGGATCGAACCCAGGACCTCACACGTGCTAGGTGAGTGCTCTACCACTGAGCCACAACCCCAGCCCCTCTTAAAAAAAAATTAAAAAAGAAAAACTATGACTTTAAAATGATCTTGGGAACTTTTTAAGGAAATTCAAATCTTGTTCTAAATTGGCAATGCCCTCACAATTGCAAGCTAAATCCACAGCAGATGGGAGTCCAGAAGAAAAAGATGGAACTATTTATCGAGTATCTACTAAATATGAGATACTGAATTCCTGTTGCTCTCCATATCCCCTCAGGAATCCAGCAAGTAGTATTATTCCCATCATGGAGGAGTTGACTATTGCTCAGGTGTGTAGGGAACTTGCCTCAAGTCACAGTGACCAGGATTACAACTTAGGGATTGCTGCTCTGCCAGCCCATGCTCCAGAGCAGTGGTTCTCAACCAGGGATGACGTGGAGATGTTGAGACAGGTCCATTTTCATAACAGGGGACAGGAGGGCAGTGCTACTGGAGGGCAGTGCTACTGGTGTCTAGTGCCTAGAAGTCAGGAATGTTGCTAAACGTTCTATAATGCTCGGGACAGTTCTCACAGCAAAGAAGTAATTATCTGGTCCCAAGTGGCAGTAGTGCCAAGGTTGAGAGGCACTGCTCTGGTGGCCCTTAGCCATGGCTGCAGGTTAGACCCATCTTGGGGGGGGGACAGTTTAGAAAGCCTGATGATCAGGATGCGCCTAGACCCCTGCACGGGCACTCTGGCAGCAGTGTTGGGCTTGTTTCTTTCTTTCTTTTTAAAGAATTTAACCATTATTTATCTGTTGTTGTTTGTTTTTATGTGGTGCTGAGAAGCGCGGTCTGCATTACTTAGGCTGTGGCTTCTGCACCACTTGTGGGGCCTTGGTGAAGGCACACCAAATCCGTCTGGCTTGCACAATAAATAGCAATCCGTCCCCACCACCCCACACTCAGGGCAGGGGCATTGCTTCTATGAGTGGTGTGTATGTGTATGGGGGAGGGGGTGTTACTGCTAATTTTTTGATTCTAATGGGACTGCAGCCGGGAGTCTCTCCAGGTGGCTGCAAAAGCTTTCCAGAACTGTGGAGCAAAGAGCAAGGCTGCCACCTAATGGACGAATTGAGACAGATCAGCCCATTCATGGAGTGCCTAATGGATGATACCAGATGATGTTTTATTTGCTCCTCACAACAACCCTGTGAGGTAGGTAGCTGCAGACCAAGGTCCTGGGCACCACAAGATAAAGACATGTACTTAAGGCCCACACGGGGACAGTCCTTGATTTGTACTTTGTCTATCCCACAGGAAGACCTCGGCCCCCCTCCACATCCTCACACTCAGCATTCGCCACAGGCAACACCTGGTCAGGAGCAGTCGGACCCCTGGACTGGGCTGCCTGATTCCCTCTGAAACCTCAACTTCCACTCGACTTCTGCCGTAGCCCATCCTGGAAATCACCAAACTACATCTTCACTGCAGGTCCACAGCAAAATAGGAGATTGAACTCCTCCAGTCTTTACTGCAGAGTCCCTGGCCATACAGTTAATGACTAACATCAAGGAACAGGGGCCAGCAGGCCAGACCTGGGGATGTGTGTGCAACTGTCCCAGCACCATCACGTGCACTTCGTGGACAGCCCCCTAAGCCCCCATTTGCCTCTCTTTTTCTGATTCGGAAGACGATTCTGGGTGCTGAGTGACTCACAGTCCTTTGGACATAGCTGGTGGTCCTTGTGGGTCTTGGAGGGGCTTCTCTGTCTTTTCCACTGCACGGAAACCTTTCCTCTGGCTGCAAATGGAGTGAAGAAGAATTCCTGCACCGACAGACGAGGGAAAGAGACTGAGGAGAGGAAGGAATATGTACAGGGAGCCTTGACCCATGCCAGGCGCTCCCTCACTTCATCCCTAAAGGAAGTATTCTCCCCATTTTGCACATGAAGCAACTGACACAGAAGGACCAGGTAGCTTGTTTAGAATTCAGTCAGAAAACAGGATGGGAGAAAAGCAGCACTTGTGTGGTTAGAGGCCATCAGGAAAGGGAAGAAGCTGACTCACCTGCAGCCACGGACACATTCAAGGACTCGAGTCCAGGAGGCAGCTGGCGCCCTGGCAGAATGGTAAGGAGGAGCCGACAGGAGGCCTGCACTTCCTGGGACAGACCAGAACCCTCGTTCCCTGCGGGGCACAGGGCAGAGGGTTAGGCAACCCAGCTAGACACCAAGTGCTCAGGAAACATGCATCAAAGCAAGAAGAGCAGGGACATCTACCTACCCAGCACGAGGAGAGTAGGCTGGTCCCAGAGGAACTCTAAGCAATTCATGATGGGGGTTTGGGAGGACTGGGAAACCTCAGGCCCCGGGCAGCCCACGGTGCCTGCCACAAGCCAGCCTTGCCGGGCTTTGGCCTGAAAGAGAAAACACTATGTTTTAGCTCACAAATCTTCATCAGAGCCCTGGGGAAATGGAGCCAAGTCTTCACCACATGTGCCTTTGCTTAAAGATGCATTCATTTCTGTCAAGTTATTAAACACCTTGATCTGTTCAGGCTATTGTAGGCACCGAGAATGAGGCTGTGAACAAAAGAAACAGAACAGAATCCCGGCCTGTGGAAAGCCTTGTTGAAATGACACGTGAGTGTAGACCTGGAGAGGATGAGGGGCGCCACATGGACATCTGGGGGAAGAACGCTCCGAGCATTCTACAAATGCAAAGGCCCAGAGGCCTTGCTTACCTGCACATGTGAGGAACAGTAAGGAGGCCACAGAACAAGGGTCACATAAGGGAAGACCTTGAAAGCCACTGAAAGGACTTGGGTTTTACTCTGAGATGTAAAGGCTTTGAAAGATTTGGATAGAAAAGTAATATGGTCTGATTTACATTTCAACAGAATCACTCTGCCTGCCATGCTGAGAGTCAGAACAGACGGAAGACCAGTGAGGCTTCTGCAA